AGCATATGTATCAACACAGTGTTGGTGGGGACTGTGAGACTGGAATCACAATGTTTCAGGTGAAATCTAAATCTGTTTATACCATGGGGATTGGAGTATCATCACCATAGTTTCTAATTGCTAAATCCTGTAAATTAGATTCACTTCATATTTTCTTTAGAATATCTCATAAGGAATTCTGCTCTTCACCTCTCCAAGGTTCTAGGAGGCATGGGTTGCTTCATAATGCATCTTTGTGCATTAGTGGGTGTGTGGGTGGTTTATGTGTGAGTGTGTGTTAGTAGTCTATAATATAATCATATGATTTTGGTATTCCTTTAATGGCTTCCCAGAGTATATTATGCACATCTCATTACTCTGTCCAGTCCAGCACCCATGTCAGCTTGATGCTCCCTTTTATCTCCTTTCCTAAAATCATCTCTCTTTGTTCTGATCCCAGTGCTTGGAATGCCTTCCCCAGCCTTGTTTATTGCAGTCTTCCTCATCTTCTTTTCTTCCTCATCTTCCCTCCTAAAATGTCACTTCAGTCCTCATACATACAAGAAATGTCAGGGGGAAAGAAAAGTTATCAAAAAACAAAACAAACAAATAAGAAATACTAAACCATATTAGCATTGTCCCTTGCATGCTTTCTGTCTACTTCATCTTCCCTTAATTCAGTTATGATCCTCACATGCTCTATCATGATTAATTTACATGATATGTTCTTTAGGGCTGGAAACCAGTTTTTATTTATTTTGTGAGGCAGGAGGTGGTGAGTTATATGGATCTATGGTGCCTGAACTCTAGGAGTATTCCTGGCTGGGGCCCAACTCCAGCAAAGTTTGTGGCTGGGTCTCTCTCCTGGCCCCACCTGCTGCTCCTGCTCACCTTGCCCAGTGCATTTCTGAGCCCCACCTGCTGTCTCTGAATGATTTAAAAAAGTCTGGGGCTTCCATGTCCATTATCTACATGTCCTTGTGGCCCCAGGTGTGTGGGGGGTGTCTCCACATGCTGCCCCTACCCTGAGTGTCCCTCCAGGCAATGGGAGCTGCAGGGGCGGTTCCTGCCAGCAGCAGGGCACAGACATCCCACAGCCCCTCACGTAGGAGCTGCTGCCAGAAGTTGACCCAGGTTAGTGCCACGCTTCCTCTTACCCCCACCCTTCCTCCCAGAGCCTGTATCCCCCCCTCCCGCATCCAACCACTTCCCCCTCACCTTCTTCTGCCCCCAAACTCCCTCTCTCACTGCCACCTCCTCCTCCACATCTTTCCTGCCTCCAAATTTCCTCCCAGAGCCTGCACTCTCTCTTACACCCCAATCTCCTGCCCCATACCAGAATCTGCACCCAGTACCCAAACTTCATTCCAGAGCCTGAACCCCTTTCCCCTCCCCCCAACTTCCACTCTCAGAACTTTAGACAGGTGTGGAGGAAGGACATTAACCCATTTTGGGCACCTCCAGAATTTCTATAAACCTGCTGCTCCTGTTGAGAGGTAGCTATCATGTTGTAATGTGCTTGAAAAACAGTAATGACTACGCATCTACATGTGCATGTATAAGTATAGATACTGAGTCCTTTTTAGATAAAAGGAGATGTATATGTAAATGAACTTAATGTTCTTATGATCTTGATCTTAGAATTAATGTTTGAAACAGAGACAAGGAAAAAAACTAATTTTGAAAAAGTTGCTGTTTAGACTTCTAACATTTCTTGCTTCACGATTCTGTGGCATCTTGAGAAAAGAGCAAGCAGACTAGGGGAGGAAAGAGAATGGTAAAAGAGGATGTGCCACGCATAGACTGGAGAAAAGATACCAGGAGATGCCATGCAGATAGTGTGAAACCATTGTTAAAAGTTCATTTTTATTTACCCTGTGCCTTACAGATATCTTCATACCTTGTTGCTGGGGACCTCCCCAAAGTCTCTTTACTTCTGCTCAAACATGTTTTCGTGTTTGAAGTCTCTTCTCTTTTCTTGCCAGACTATTGTATATGCATTTATTTGTTGCTATTTTGTGACTGACTTTTTGTACTATGTTTCCATACCTCTTATATTTCAAGTCTTTCTCTGCATTGCCAACACATAAATTACATTAACCTAATGTTTGCTTTAAATTTTTTTAAGCAGATAGGTAATAAATGACAATTGCATTTTGTTGCTACTAGAAAATTTTATTTACTGCAGTATTGTTTCCTTATGATATGGCTTAATTTTTGATTTAACAGTATAAACCTAAACAGTCCCATCTGCTGGCATTGCAGAGACTTGCTACCTTTCACAGAAAGACAATTCTTTTTGTTCAGTATTTTCATGTTGCAGAATGAGAAACAATAGTTATAATTATTTTCGCAGTTTATTTAAAGTGCAATTAGCTTGACTTGCATAACTTTCCACATGGTTAATGGGACGTTGTTTGCAAATCAGATTATATTACAGATTGGTCTTCCCTGTTTTGGCATCCTCAGGATCTGACCAGTCCCGAACGAGGGAGTTTGCCAGACCAGGAGAGGTCAATGCTGGTCCCTCTGCTACTGGCAGCTGTGCTCTGCACCCTGCTGCTGGCCCCCTGCCGGGCTCCACTATCTGTCACCGGCCCCATCTGGGCTCTGTTGCCCTCTGGCCCTTGCCCTGACTAGCAGCCAGCTCCCTGCCCCTAGCCTCTGCCAGGCTCCACTGCCCCCTGGCCTGAGCCAAGCTCTGCTGCTGACTGCCAGCTCCCTACCATTGGGCCCAGCCAGTCTCCACTGTCAGCTTGTGTTCTCTAGCTGCTGAGCTCTGCTCCCAGCTGCCAGTCCCTGGCTCTTTGGACTCCACTCACAGCCCGCATGGCTCTCTGATCCGGCCACATTTATGATACTGCTGTTCTGTTTTTTCTCCTTGAGTGCTCCAACCCCAGAGCACCCACTGGATCCCCAACAATGCCGAATCCCGGATGTTACTGGACCAGTGTGTCTTAAACTAGAGAGGTCTAATCTGTATTAATATATTTAAAACATGCACAGTACTCTGGAACATGAGTCTGTTAAATATGTTTAGTACATTTTCTTACTTTTTAAAATAATCTTTTTGTACTGTTTTTACAAGAATAATGAGAAGTTGATCTTGATTGGCAGTTGCTTTTTAAAATTGGTTCTGGAATGCTTTCTATAATTAAAATATGTTCAGTTAGTATCATTAATGTATGCTTTTGCACACATCTGTTTTTTACTGTTTTCCTGTTTTTCTTTTTGTTCTGCTTTGCCTTGTGTTATAAGTTCTGATGGCCCGGGGTATGTCATGGCACATTAATTTCTGTTTCCTCTTTGTAGCCTACTGTTTGTCATAGATAGTTCTGAACTTAGACTTTTTTGGTTTATTACATAATTGGATGATATTATCTAATAGACACCTTTCTATATAATTATAATAGAGTCGATTCATATTGAAGTTTTAAAATTAACTTTATTTCATGTTCTCAGTTTTTATATAATCTTTCACTATATAATGATTTAAAATATAAACTACAAAGTGCTACTTCTGTCCTAATAAACAAGCATGTTTCCCAAGAAATGATACCAAGAATATATATTTTTCTTTCTTGTAAGTGCATAGTTTTGTGTATGTGTCAAGAGAGAATTAGAACTCTGGATTCTGTGTAGAAGGGACTAAAACTCTGTTTTATTATTTCTAGTATTTTAGGGCTCAGTCTTTTTAAACTAGCAGAAGCAAAGCGACCATTAAAGCCAAGAAGAAAGGAGAGAAAGAAAGTTACAGCACAGAATCTGTCAGATGGAGACATAAATCTTTTAGTGAATATCATCAGAGCTCATGATATTCCAGTGAGAAAACCTGTTTTAAGGTATGAAACTTTTCAATGGCATCTAGCGGGAAATGTTCTTTCTCTATCTAGTGGCTCTTTCGTTGTCTTTTAAAAAATATTTTTCATACTATAGGCTACATTTTCAAATTGGCTATGTAAATTGGTTATGTGAAATTGCATGAAAAGCTGTGTGTTTAAATCCTTGTTCTTCTTCAAGGAGTGTCCCTGTTGGCGCTCCACTGTAGGTGTCTTGGTGCCCTTGTACTTATAATTGGAACTTTTTAGCAGCAGTATTCTGGGTGTTGGCGCACATATACAGTGCCACTCAGGCAGTAGCGAGTGTGCTGACGCACCCAAATTGTCAATCAGCCTTCAGTTCCTTCTCAACCATCTCATAGATGGTCGGAACCTAGCAGTGCTCCGTTCTTCCTTATAGATAAGATTGTTATCAGAGTAGTTCGTTGTTACAGGTTTTCCCCCAAGTTAATTTGGGTGCTTTTTTCCTTCCCTTCTCCTATTTAAACAAACAAACAAACAAAAAAGCCCCCCACCCTCCTTATTCCTTTCCTAGTTAGTGGATTAGTAATGCCAGTCTCTCCTGGGTTCAAGAAGAACCTTACTTGTATGATGTCCACCCCAGTATCGGATGGATATTCCCAATGTATTAGATGCTTAGGACAAGAGTATTCCCCACACAGCTTCCACCATTGCAAGAAGCTATCCTTCAGGTCCCTAAAGGCCAGGGATCTGCAACTTAAGCTTTTGACTATGGAAAAGAGACCAGTGTTGGAGCCAGTGTCGCAAGTCTCTCTACCCTGAATGTCCCCCACAGCTGTTTTGGACCAAGGGATGTCAGCATTGCAGGAACCACCAGCTCAGATGACCTCAAAGAGAAAGCACTCCTCTCCTACAACTGAGAGAGCTACCAAAAAGGTATCCCCTCAATAGAAGCCTTCATTGGCACCAAAGGTACATGCTTCAGGGTATGCACAGGTTCCGGGCACGTCCAACATGGACATGTCTTGAGGGGTGGTGCTGACTAAGGAAGTACACCCTGGAGTCCCAGCACTGAAGCTGAAAAAGACCGCACCTGCACTACCAGTACCAACAACATTGGTACCAGGGCAAGTGGCACCAAAACTGGCACACCACTCTGAAGCTAAGGGATGCTTGGATCCATTTGCACAAACCCTGTATAAGACGGTACCGGGGCCACATACTGACACCTCTCCGGTATCGGCTCGCCGTGACATTTCCATACTGCAGCATACGAAGGCGACCCCACCATTGATACCGGTTTTTCCTTCATGCACCTATTGAACACATAACAGGCATTCACAGTCACGTTGGTACTGGGAACTCCATACCTTGGCACTGATGCCACACCTATCCTCAGGACTAAGCAGGGTTGCTACATCCTCCAGTTCAGCTCCGCCCATTTCAAGTGAGGACAAAGACAACAAGGAAATCTTTTTCTCTCCTCGCCACTCTTCACCCAAACCTACCTTTCATTTACAGCAGCCAGCAACATTAGGGCCAAACCCAGATGTGGCCGCCTTTTCCAAGTTCCTACCCATACCTTTCCCTGAGTCATGGGAAGGATGGGATCTTTGGGCCATGGTAGAGCCCAGATGGCAGCACCTCAGGCTACCCCACAGAGCAAACCATAGTGGTTCCAAAGCCTCTGGTGTCCATAATGCCTTTTAATTACATCCAGTACTTACATTATGCCCCTTGTAGTTATATTAAAGAAGATTATATAAATTAAATGTATTAAAAGAGATTTCAAGTAGTCTTTTCTAAAAGCCATTAGTAGTTATTATATGCACAATAGAACCAGAGTTTTGCAAACTAATTGGGAATTAAGTTCATAAAATCAAAAAGTTTATAAAATTTATCATCTCAAAATCATAGTAGGTAAAAGGCAAAAACTGCAGTATGATGCCCTCTATTGCTTTCTTCTTGTCCTTCAAACTAATGCAAAGCAATTTCCACCACAATGAAAGCCTCAGAATGCAAAGGCATGTCAACTTGTAAATTTTGTTATGTAATTTCCACTGGTTTCTGCTTTTCTGGGAGAATGGTTAGTACAGCTGCTTGTTCATGAAATCAATCTTTGTTGAATTGAGGTTCTACTGGACCTTCATATTTGCTCTTACTCAGAGGTGGGAAATAATTTTTGATGGGAGTGCACTCCAAGAATTTGATAAAGTCTTCCATGGTATTAATGGAAAAGGCATGGCGCGTGGGATGGAGGTTGTGTGCAGAAGGGAGCTTGAAGTAAGCGATTGGGGTTCAGGAGGGGGCGTGAGATCTGGAAAGGAGTTTAGGTGAAGTACGGGGTTGTGACCTGGGGCAGAGTACTGGAGTGTACGAGGGGATGCAGGGGTTTGGGTTGTGACCTAGGGCAGGGGATTGGGGTGCTGGTTCTTGAGGGGAGTCGGGGTGCAGAAGGGAGCTGTCACACGGCTATAAGGAGGACATTGTCCTAAGTGTGGTGGGGTGGTCCACCTTGCTCCCATCACACTTATCCCCACCCTTTATCTTCCTAGCCTGTGCCTCTGTTCCTGCCCCCAAAGTCTGTCTGCTCCTTCCCTCTAGTCCTCTCGTAGGAATCCTATAGACAGGGCAGCATAATTCAATAGTCACTACATGACCCAAAGATCACAGTCTATAATTCGCCTCTATTGGCAGGGTAGTATTGTTCAATAGTCCACACATGACCCAATGGTCACAGTCTGTTTGTGGAGGAGTAGATAGGGGAAAGGTTTATATCCCCCTGCAGGGGAGTCCAGGCCCTCCCCCTCCACTGGACCCTCCAACCCAGGGCCTTGTTAGTGGCTTACTCTCGCCACTGAGTCAGCAAGGAAATCCTAACTACAACATGCTGACTCCTTGACAGTGGCTCACTCACTTGGTAGCCATTGCTGCTCCTGGGTTGCTTATTGCTTCCCCAGGTCTCGGTTCACTGGTGAATCTCTGTTTTGCCACCTTTCTCTGCATTCTGGCTACTTCCCCTTATTTCCTGAATCCAGCATGGTGTCTAGAGGTGTCTGGTCTCCAGCCTGGGTGGCAGCGTCCCAGCCTTTAGGTAGTTGCTGGGGCTTGTAGGCTTAGCACGTCTTCTCCCTCCATGTGCCAGCCCCAACTGAGCTGAGCTGTTCCCTTTTTATAGCACTGCAGCCAGAGCATGCCCAGCAAGGTACAGGGGGTGTGGCCTCCTCTGCTCTCAGGGCTGAGTTAACCTGCTCCTGCTCAATGCTGGGGGAGTATGCCCCATCATAGGGGGCCAGAGGGTTTGGATTATGCGGGGTAGGGGACAGAAGTGGGAAGGCAGAGGGTTGAATAGAGGGAAGGGCTGAGGTGCCAGAGGCGGGCTCTGTCCAGGAGACACCTCCCGGTCAGCAGCCCAGGAGGTTCCTTGCTTTCCGTGCTCCAGCAGGCTGCTCAGAGCTGTGTGTGTTAGTAAACAGCTGCAAGCCCGAGGGAAGGGGGAATGCCTCCAGGTAGGAAGTTCTCTTCCATTACGGAGCATCTAACTTACACAGGTTCACTATCCTTACAACTTTCTTTTCTAGTTAGTTTTACTGATTAAATATAGTCAATCTGTGAATGCATAACAAATACCAAAAATATTTTTACAAAAAAAACCCAACTTCTGTACAGTTAAATACATATTTAATAAATTGAGGATTAATATTCAGTGGGTCTTCAAGTCCTGGTCTCTATCGCTATTTCACTGTGGGTATTTATGTGCTCTTTAAGCCTGAAGTTGCCAAAATTCTTGAAAGCAGTGTCCATTGATCCATACATGTGCCTTCGCTGGCCTTGTGCACCCAACTGAGAAGATAAAGGGCTGACCGTCTAATTGCGTTTCTGTTTCCTACTTACGACCATATAGTTTGGGCCAGAACCTCTAGTGTCTTAAGCTTTGTCTTTTATTCTTCAATCTTTAAATACATGTATAGATTTTTAAAAAATATTTATAGGATTTTATCCTGTAGTTTTTAGCTACATTTTATTCAGTAGTTAAGATTACATATATCAGGGAATTCACTGGCTCCCTTTTCCCCCACTATAAATACTGGACTGTGCCCAAGATGTTGGTCTTCAAAATCTATACTTCTTGCAAATGTTTCTTCACAATCAGCGATGATCATTAGTGCAGACTGTACTGTCTTGGGGAAGCTTACTTTGTGGCAAAAATAAAAGTGCTGTATTTGCCACTCTTTACCCAGTCATACTGAGGAGGGATGAGAACTTGGCTTTAACAAGCATACAATGGAGAAAGTCATGAGGTCTCAGTCAGCCCCAGGTCATAGAACCACGCCGTGCTCAGCCTGGCTCAGCAAGGAGTGTACCTTCTACTGTGAGATTCAGCTTAGAAAAGAGGAAATGTAATCTCACAGACGCTGTATTTGGGGTCTTGTCAGGAGGGCAGAGAACATTCCTAAAAACATCAAAGAACTTAGATACATCAAATTTTTCTTCATAATCTTTAGGATAAGGATGTAGAATGTTCTAAGACTCAGGATCATGACATAAAAGCTCACAAATCCCGGGTTCTGTTGGTACCAGGCTTAAACAACAATGCCTTTGGTACCAACTAACTCTTAATGGGAACTGATAAAAGGCAATCATTGAGCACCTCAACCACCAACAGTACAGCTCTGCCTCACCCAACTGTGGCATAAACTGTAACTGCTTTGGCTCCCTCAGTTTAGGTGGACAAGACCGTTTGTACTCTATGAAGAGCAAAGGCTTACACTCTGCCTGATGACATTTTTGCTGTCCTGGATCTCCAGTTCCTGTCACAATTAGCTCCTTCCTTCACAAGGGAGGTCCAGACTCCACTAAGATGCATCTTCTGGGAGGAAGAGTCTATCTCGCATTCCATTGTCCAGCCAGGGCTTCCCTCCTGGATAGCCATTAGTAATGCTGACGACTATGGATATGGAATAAGTGTTTTATTTGTGAGGGCATTCTCAACCACCCAGTGAACCCTATGATTCCTCCTTTGAAGCATAATTTCCCAGAGAGGGGACATAGACATGTCTGGAATTAACCTCCACCTTAGCACCTGCCTGTGAACTGTTAGTATGCTGTGTCATGGGGCCCTCCACTTCAACCTTTGACCTGTCTTACTGGATATACTAGAGACCATGGAATTTGTACTACCCTGTAAAGTTGAAAATATCCACTAACAAGTTAATCGATTGCTCCTCTCTGAGAAGATAGCAGAACTTCCTTTTGACCCCCTCGAAAAAGAAGGAAGGGTAGGTAGAAATAAATGGCCAGTTTTCACAGGGGAACAAGTTAAATAGCAGAGTCGCTCAAAGACCTGTGCTGGGACCAGTGTTGTTCAACACATTCATAAATGATCTGGAAAAGTAACAGTGACAAATTTGCAGATGGTACAAAATTACTCAAAATAGTTAAGTCCAAAGCTGACTAAATAGAGTTACAAGTGACAGATGAAATTCAATTTTGATAAGTGCAAAGCAGTAACATTGGAAAACATAATCCCAACTATACATACAAATGAAGGGATCTAAATTATCTGGTGTCACTCAAGGAAAAGATCTTTGCATTATTGTGGATAGTTCTCTGAAAACATCTGCTCAATATTCACCAGCAGTCAAAAAAGCTAAAAGAATATTAGAAATCATTAGCAAGAACAGTAAGGAGTCCAGTGGCACCTTCAAGACTATCAGATTTATTTGGGCTTATGCTTTCCTGGGTAAAAACCACTTTGTAAAATGCATGGCATTTTTACTCAAAAAAGCTTTTGCCCAAATAAATCTGATAGTCTTGAAGGTGCCACAGGATGACTCGTTGTTTTTGGAGACTAACATGGCTACCCTTCTGAGACTACATTAGGAACGAGAGAGATAATAAAACCAAAAACATCATGATGACACTGTATAAATCTGTGGTATGCTAACGCCTTTAAGTTCTGGAGACATGGAGAGAGAATTAGAAAAAGTACAGAGAAGGGCAACAACAATGATTAGGGTAGGGACAAGCTTTCGTATGAGGAGAGATTAAATATACTTGGACTGTTCATCTTGGAAAAGAGACAACTAAGGAGGAACATGATAACCATCTATAAAATCCTAAATGATGTGGAGAAAGTGAATAGAGAATTATTATTTATCTCCTTATTTTACACATGAAAACACATGAAATTAATAGGCAGCAGGTTTAAAACAAACAAAAGGAAGTACTTCACACAACACACAGTCAATCTGTGGTGACTTGTTTCTGGGGAAAGTTGTGAAGGTCAAAATTATAACTGGGTTCCATAAAAAATTAGATACGTTCATGGAGAATTGCTATTGGCTAAGATGGTCAGGTGTGTGTATCCCTAAACTTCTGACTGCCATCAGCTGTGTTTGGACAACAGGGTACGGGTCTCTTGCTAAATCATTCTGTTCTATTAATTTCTTGTAATGCATCTGGCATGAATCCAAACCCAGCCCCCAGATGAATGGTATTTTGGCGAGATTTTGAGTGCTACAATCTAGTAACTCCAGCACTTGCTGATTCCCACATACTCCTAGCCCTCTCTCTACATCTGGAATGCAATAACAACGGACAAATGAGTACTAAATATTCATTCTGGCCATGCAATTTAATTTTATCAGCTCATCGCCCCTTTTGAGGGGCCATTCTCGTGAGGAGATTTTAAATAAGGAATAGAATCATTCTTATAATGAGGAGCAACAGACCTGGTATCTGTTTAGTACCAAAGAAAGAATTTTTTTACTAAATTTACTTCCTAGTACCCAGGAAAAAAAAAAGCATCTGATGACCTAATCTCCCCCATCTCAGCCTCTTTATTCACAAACTGAAATTTTGCATGGCCACACTGGTATCTATAGTCCCATATCTAGAAAAGGGCTTGTTGTTTACAACTTTTGGTATGAAGGACATGTACTTTCACAAGGGCATTCACCCCACTCACAGACATTTGCTCATACTTATGGTAGGCTTCAACTATTTTCAATATAGAAAGTTCCCGTTCAGCCTTGCATCTACCCCACTGTCTTTAACAGTGTCTTTTTGGTAGCATCAGAGGTTGTGGCTTCACTATATTCCCCAAAACAAAGATCGGTTTATTGCTACAAAGCACATCAAGAATCCTAAGATTCTACTTTACCAGTGCTTCAGTTAGCACTTCTGTCATGTATGGGAACTGCAAAGGAGAGCCTAACTTATCTGGAGAGCGAGGAAAGGATTAAGCTAACCTTAAGCTATTCTGCACCTAAGGGAGGAGGATGGGCATTGAGCATTTGAAATGCAGCTAAAGAATTTCAAATGAGGAGAAGCAGTCTCCTTTGTTGGAGAGAGAGGGGAAACTTCTCCAGGCTCAGAGGGAAGAAATGAACTCTCCCCAAAACAGATCCCCTGGATTCATCAGAATGCGTGAGTAGGAAAAAGTTTAGGTAATCCATCAGGTTTATTGTTTTCCTTGTTTGGGATTTGGAAATTATGTCTGAGCTGGTTAATTATCTTTTGTTTTTCTCTCTTGTAACCAAGAATTAATCCCAAGAGAATCCCGGAGTTTTGTTTCAATTCAAGGCAGTTTAACACCAAGTCATTTACTATGGTTGCAATGATAGTCTTTTTTTTAATAATAAGAGTTTTCTTTTTTTGTTCTGTTAACCGGTATTAGTTGATTTTTTGTGTTCTTAAACTTAAGTGCCTGGTTGCAGACATGTTACTGGAGAGCAAGCACAGGTACATTGTTCTCTGCAAGAGTGCTTTTTTTGTTTGTTTTCCAACTCCTTGGGGAAAGGAGGTTGGAGGTTTTGCCCTCAGAGAATAGATTCCAAGTGATTTGGGTACAATCCAAGTGAAAGGAGGTACGCTTTGTACACTTGGTGATGTCAATGCCAAATGGATTTTAGGGGAACGGGAATCAGTAAACTTTTTTTTTTTAAACTCTGGAAACTACAGGGACAGGATCTGACAGTGGTTTTATTTTACTAGCTGGCCTCCATTACCTACACTCGAAGCACCAGGTTGTAGAATTCAGCTGTGACAGCTTCTCACTAATTCTCCCTTCAAAACACTGCATGTTTCGTGTGTCTCCTATCCATAAATATTGAATTTCTGATAGCCATCACCTGAACTAGGAGGATAAATGAGCTCAGAGTGGATCCTCTTTACACCATATTTAATAAAGGCAAAGTTTCATTGTTTTTACATCCTAAGTTCACTCCCATAGTAGCCACAGAGTTTCACCTGAACCAGTTAGTTTATTTGCATGTATCTGAAGAAGAGAGTAGAGATATGCAGCAAACCTTAGCCTTTTTCCTGCAAAGGTCAGGGCCAATAAGAAAGTCTAGATTGTTTATCATTTCAGCAGAAAGAGTTCAAGGTTAAGCTATGTGCTTTCAGAGAATGAATTTTGTGCTCTATCTTACTCTTTCAGCCATGTAATCTTTTCCCCCTTTGTGGTATTGAGAGCTCATTCTACAAAAGAAAAAGTGGTATCAGTGCTATCACTTCAAGAAGTACCTCTACTTGACATTTTCAAAGCTGCTACGTAAAATTATTTCTGCATGTTTAAGACATTATGCTTCAGTACAGAACTCTTCTGCTGATGCAGCCTTTGGGATGCCAGTCCTTCAGTCAGCTCTGCAGTCACTCACATTGGAATACACATAAGGAACAGCGCTTTAAAGAGAAGAGAAAGTTATTTTGCTTGTAGTAATTGGAGGTTCTTCAGGATGTGTGGTCTCTAACTATATTTCCCTGCCTGCCTGCCTTCCTTTCTGCTTCAGATAATGGTGGAATAGATTATCTGAAGCAGAAAGGATAGATAAGGAACTGGAGAGGTGGATGTTCTACTATGTCCTTTATCTCCTCAATTGGAGCATGAGGAGAGTGAGGGAGCATATGCCAGCCAGTGGATACTACTTTGAAGAATTCTCTGACTGGGTACATGGATCACATGTGTAACCATAGTGAAATACAGTAAAACTCCATTGGTCCGGCATCCAATGCTCCGGCATTTCTGATGGTCCGGCACCATCAGGAACCCGGTAGTGCTTCGGCTGCCGGACAATTGGAGCTGCTCTGCACCTGGCTTCCCCAATTCAGCCGCTGCTGAAACTGACCAGCAGCTGAATCAGGGAAGCCGGGATCAGAGCAGCTGGGGTGCTGCCGGGTTGGTCCCATAGCGCCACCCCTCGGGGCTGCGGGACCAACCCGGCAGCACCGCAGCTGCTCTGTCCCAGGCATCCCCAAGAGCAACCGGGGGGGGGGCCGGGGGGGGGTCGC